GTGGTTATGGGCGCAACCCGTTATGCCCATGTGACACCCCTCCTGCGCGAGCTGCACTGGCTCCCGGTGGTCTTCCGGGTGCGATTCAAGGTGTTGGTTACCACCTTTAAAGTGCTCCATGGCATAGGACCCGGGTACCTCCGAGACCGTCTTCTGCCACCAATAGCCTCCCACCGACCAGTTCGTTCCCACAGAGAGGGTCTCCTCAGGGTGCCATCAGCCAAGTTATGTCGGCTGGCGACGCCCAGGGGGAGGGCCTTCTCTGTGGGAGCCCCAGCCCTGTGGAATGAACTGCCCCCGGAAATTCGTAAGATCTCCGACCTCCGGGTGTTTCGCTGCGCATTGAAGACCCTGTTGTTCCGCCAGGCCGGACTATCAACACAATAGTTTTAAATTGGGGTATTTAAATTTATTGGGGTTTTAAATTTGAGCCACTTATTTAATTATTTTAAATTTTATATCATTGTTTTGTCTGTGTTTTTAAATAGGCTGTACACCGCCCTGAGTCCTTCGGGAGAAGGGCGGTATAGAAATAAAATTATTATTATTATTATTATTATTATTATTATTATTATTATTATTATTTGCTAAAAACAAAACAAAACATCTTTTCTTTGGAACTGATAACTGGGTTTTTAAAGGAATGTTTACACCACATGTATGTACTTACATCTACAAGTTCTGGTCCACACTTTTAGTGAGGCAAAAAAAATCCCTCATGTTTTGAGAGGAAGACAAGTTATTTTGAATTGGCTCAGGTTTATCCAGTAGAGACAGAGACATTATATGCAGCAAATGAAAACTAGGTGCTGTGTTATATTGCAATTGTAGATAATTTGTTTTTGTCAGTTGTTGACAAAGCAACTATCAGGAAATTCCTCTTTGATCTTTGTAGATTTTCTAGCTGCCATCTTGTCTGGAATTTTAATAATCCAAGTTTCAGTGCTCATTGCAGCCTCATTGAGTTATTCCAGAAGTGTTCATTCCTTTACCAAGGTTGACTTTTTTAGACCTGAAAGCAGAATGAACATCATTCAGTTTTATTCATCTAGAAATCACTACACAGAAACTGCTATAATGTTATAAGGGACAGCAGTAATATTTAATCTATGCACTTAGTAAGGACATTATGTCTTGTACTAATGACACTGTGATAAATATGGAAGAACAAAGGAAGGAATTCCATAATTCATCCATTTTGGGATTCTCTGATTGTTCTACGAGGTGCATTTTTCTGCATCAAAAATATTTTTGTGCAACAGGACTAAAAATATGGTACTGTCTATCCTTTGCTGCACATTTGCCTGATGGATTTCAAAATTACATCTGCTATTTTGCATGCCATCTTTAAAAAGAGCCTAATTTTTGTTTGCAGTGGTCATTAAATAAATGAGAAAATAAATCAATGCAATTTTCTGGTACTATGTAAACAATGCCCAGATCATAGCTCTGTTCCAACATTAAGCCAGTAGAAAATCTCAACTACGTAGGAGCCAAGAACTGTGCTTGTTGGTCCTACCCATTACAGCCCTCTCATTCCAAACATCTCTGTTGACTCTGGTCTTGGCCTCCCTATGCTGAGATTATCCTACTTAATCCATCTAGACTAGCAATCAAGGTTTTGAATTGGTTAGTTTACCAACTATCTTCCTATTTTCTCTTGCCTTTGGCACTATTACCGAGCTTCACACGATAGTTTGAAGCTAGTTTGGTTCTGTTCCTTTGCTTTCAAAGAAGCCCATGTGATCTCCCATAAATTCCTACAAATAAACATAGCACATCCATAATAACATAAGTGTGATATCAAAGGGCGTGTCTGAATGATTCATGATCTCCTTTTGTATCAGCTGCCTCTTTACATATGGGAAAACATCATAAAGTGCCAAAAGAAATACTTAGGAGAATGAGGAGCCATTTGAAGAATGAGGAACAATATGTTCTGAATGATCTCCTGGGTGGGATTTAAAGAAAGAGATTTTTGCTTGCTTTTATGTGAATATTGAAATTATTCTCAGACTGTGTTCAAACTTTATGCACAGATTTGCAAATTTGTCCCCCCCCCTTCCTGGTATGGAAATATGATGCCAAATTACGTTCCAAATTGATATTACTTTGCCTAAGTGTTGGGGGGGAAGCTAATTTCCTTTTTCAGTTTACCGCTTGTAAATCATTCTGATTAGTTTTGTTTGGTTTTCTGTTTTCCTGTGTTTAATGTGAAATCTGTCTAAATTACAGTAAGAAGTTACATGACAGAGTTTTAAAGTGCAGTTACCTTTATGCCACTCGGGTCCATGGTGAAAGTAAAGTATAAGTACTAGCTTGATATCAACTTTTTTTGTAGCAAAAAGGGGGTGATTGACCGAAGAAAATATTCCCCCCAGACAACCAAAGAAAATAAAATAGCCATACAATTAGAGCAGGGATGTCAAACTTGAGGCCTGGGGGCTGGATCTGGCCTATAGGGTACTTAGATCTGGCCCTTAGGGCCACCCTGGAAACAGCAAGGGACCGGCCCTCAGCAAAAGCAGGCAGCAAAGGACCTGCCAGCAAAAACAGAGATTGGGTGGACCATGTGCATCCATCCCAAGGTCCTTTTCACTTGGAGAGGGTTGCAGGAGGCCGTTGCAGCTGACAATGGAGCTTAGGAGCCTGTTTTCACTGGCAGAGCACTCGGGCCACCAGAAGCGTCCCTGACATAAGTGACGTTGAGCTGGCCATGCCCAGCCTGGCCACACCCACCCCAGCCATGCCCCCCGGCCCCCCAAAGTCAAACACCGCCCAGATGTGGCCCTCAGTGAAATTGAGATTGACACTCCTGAATTAGAGGTATCTTGGGACAGGATGCAAATTCTTTTTTTTTTCTTTTTGTACCCAAAATGACTTACCATAGAAATTATACACTGAGTGAAATAGGGAAATAGCCCTAATATCTCTGGAATCCTGGCACTCCAGCATTATTTCTCTCTACCAGTGCAATTACGATGTCTCTTAATTCCCAACGCCTATTTCAATGCAACAGAGTTGGCATATGTTGGGTTCTTTCCATTAAACAGTGTGATCTAGCAGACTGAAGAGGCGTGCCTCCTCTGTCATGGTGTCTGCCCTCTGGATTGAGGTCTCACCTGATATCCAAGTGGTTCCCACCCTAATGGCATTCCATAAAGCCCTAAAGACCTAGCTGTTTTCCCAGGCTGAGGTAGGGTGGTTGGGCTCTTGGTCAGATTGATTGATGGGGGAAGGTGTGGTTAGCTGCATTTGCTATTAATTCTTGTTTTTTCCTTTCTTCTTACTCCTTTAATAATTATTGTATCTTACTTAATTTTACTAATGTACACTGCCCAGTGTGGGTTCAGAGTCAGGCAATGTCTAACTCGAATCAGTTGCATAAAATTAATTAAATTTCCATGATGTGAAATCTCAGGGTAGTTGATCAAATTAGTGATGTTGAAATGCAACACTTCTGTTTTTTAGCAGCACTTGGAAGTTCATGCTCAGCTTGGTGTGGTTTCTAATGCCAGAACTAAACCAAAGCCCTTTCTTATAAACTCAGTGATAGAATTTAGTCCCTAACCCAATAATAATTTTCAATCCAATTAAAGTTTCTTTCTGTATGTAGAATGTAGTTGACTCTTTGATTTTCTTTCATTATTGAGGTGAACGGTCCAAACTGGGAGTAGGACCACAGTGTGTGCAGGTTGGAAGAAATTAAATCTTCCTGCCACATCTGCTTCATTTCAAAAACCATTTCCCCCTTCTGTGCTCACTAATTGAAAAGAAAAGGAAAAGAAATTTAGTTGCTGACCTTTCTTCCTTCCCTCACTTCTACTTGCCCACATGGGGAGCAGAGGCTCTGAAGTGTGGCAAAGTTATATGGAAAGCTTAAGTGTCTTGAATGCAGACATGCTGGTTCCAATATGGTTCAGAAGTACCTGCCTTCATATTAATATATTTAAAAAATCATGGGTCCAGCATCTCAATCAAATGAAAGATAGGGTCGTAGCCTTGTATTTGTACTCATTCAAACTCTTATGGAGCATATAGGTAGACTTTTTAAAATCACCAACTGGCCCTTCAGGTCTCCCAACAGTATGTTACTATCGAACCTTGTAGTAGGACTATTACGTACTCCTGTTGGTATTTTATGACTATCACTTTGTTCATTGTATCTTATGATTTATGATTGTAGCTGATGATTTGTGATTTATCACTTCATTGTTTGTATCTATATTGAGTGTGTCCAATCACACTTGGCCAAAAAAGAATATTCTATTCTATTCTATTCTATTCTATTCTATTCTATTCTATTCTATTCTATTCTCCACTATAATTTTGTCACAGAAGTGAGTGCTAGAGCAGGATTACAAAACATGGCTTCTCCAGAGACTCATCTCTGTTGGGCACTTTGACAAATAAAATGGGGCAGGAAATGGAAGATAAAATTTTATCCACCCCATCTGTAACTGCTGTCAACCCAATCCTCTTCTTCGTCTTCCTCCTCCTTCTCCTTGGATGGCAGCCAAGATGTCTCCACCCAATATAATTGGGTTGGATTTGCTATTTACTGGTAGATCAAGTCAGTGCGAAGGCAACCAGTGCAGAATTTGTTTCAAGACTTTTCTCTTTCAAAGCCTGTGTGTCATACTGCTGATGCCATTTTAATGCACTTTACCACTATAACTTCATGCAAATGACTATTATAAATTCTTCGACTGTAATGGTGTTTGGATCATGACTCCCTCTCCTCCTATAGCATAATCCCGGCTCTTGTTAATTAGATTCCAGAAGAAATCCCTTTAGTCTAATGCTTTACTATTGCCCTTCGTTGTCAAGCACAGGCACTGATGTTGCTCTAATCAGGAATTCATCTTGCTTACTATCTGCATCCTAACTGCTCCCCGGAGAAGGCTAAAGTGTGCTTGTGCATATTGTAGAGATTTATTCAAAATGTCTGCAGCATGGGCAGTAATTTGAAATGTTCAATCTTTGCCCTGTCACTTCAGGCTGGCATGATTCGCACGGACAAGGACGAGTATTTCATTGAACCTCTGCAGAAGGGGAAACAGGAGGAGGAAGAAGGAAGGACCCATGTGGTATACCGCAGGACAGCTGTCAAGGGAACATTTCACAGAGAGCACCCAGACACCCAGCCTAGAGGTAAGGTTACAGTGATCCTGAAAATTGATGCCTGAACACTTTCAGTTAAAAGCATGTGTTCAGTAGCACCATAGGTAGAATTCTTCAGCTACCACTGCTTTACCTCCTTGAGGAACGAGATGCCTTCTTTCTGGTTGTCGTACTTCAACGTTTGTTGCTTAAATGAAATAGAAGACCTAAAAGAAATAGGTTTAGATTAATTAAGCTTCCCAACATCAGTTATTGTCCCAAGTACTTTTTTGGATTGTTTGCTAAAACAATCTCTTGATTGATAAAACAGGCAGCATAGGCCAATTGTGACAAGTTTGAACTATAGAAAGGAGGTCTTTAAAATGTAGATCCATTGTATATAAATTAACAAAGAATGCTAGATATGACAGAACCAGGAACCTCTGTGAATAATATAGATATGCAATGATTATGTTAGCACTAGTCAGGTATTTAGCTGACCTTGGAAAAATTGCCAAAATGTATAGGAAGACTTGTGTATGGGCTTCTTGTACCCCCAGTGACTCCTTGTGCATCACCCATTCCATCCATTCTCAATATGGAAGTCAGAAAGGAAAACACTGATTATGCATCTACTGTAAGTGCAAAAAAAAAAAAATGCAACTAGCACTTGCTTTTAGACCTGCACACTGAATTTGTCAGGATCAAAAGTTGACCTTAACTAGCATAGCCATCTCCAGATCCCTCTGGCCTTGAAGGGTTCCATGCTTAGATTGAATGTTTGAACAGAATTGTTGCAAAAGTTTGTGTGGCTGAAACAATCAGCCTAGCTTGAGCACGCCAGATTGATGTGGTCAGAGACATTATTCAGTGAATGCTGTTCACACCTTTAGATATTGATTGTGAACTGTTTCATAATCAAGTGCTGATAAATCAAGACTCAAATAGTATATTTGAATCGACCCTTAGGGCTTTGTCTAATTTCAGTACTGGTGAATTGTTTCCAGAGTCTTATAATTAACTAGAATTATAAGTATACATTCACTTTCTTCATAATATTATCTTTATTCTTGATTGTGCCGAAGTGTGTGTGTTTGGAAAAGACCTTTTATCTGTTCAGTCTTTCCTTAGGTTTGAACATTCCAGAATTCTATCTTTGTTAAGAGTTGATTAGAGTTAGACTTGGGGAAGTTGTGTTATAAGAGTTGATTTATTGTGCTCTGAGATTTTTAATAAAATCTATGTTCTCATACATGAGATGGGACTAGATCCCAATAATCATGCTCATGCATGGCATGCTGAAGATACTACTCCCAGATTTGGAACTTCCAATGAATAATTTTGAGTGAAACATGATGGGAAAGATTTATTGGATTTGATGGGTGAAAGTCTGATATCAATCATAGTTTCCTATATTCTAGTAGCAAATTCACAAGAACTGTTATAAAGCAGATGTATTATGTTGTTCCTCCACTGTACAATACAGACTCACATGATATTAGGAGCACTTGGGTTTGCTGAATTAAGTGCCAGAGCACAAGTTACAAAGGGTCAAACTTGGCTTTATATCAGACAAAAAATACTGAGGAGTCAGGGGTGGGTTCTACTTACCTTTACTACCTGTTCACAACAGAGCCACGTGCACGTTCTTCTGCGCATGCGCAGAAGCATTTTGGTGACATTGGGGTCAGTGGGCAGGGCCTTCCGTCAGTTTTACTACTGGTTCTATAGAACTGGTGCAAACCGGGAGCAATTCACCACTGCTGAGGAGGCCATGGCATTTCCACACCATTTATCTTGATCTTCCCATCTTCCTGTTCATCTTGGCTGAAAGGCAGAGCAATGTGTATCTCAAGGACTGTCCTGCACACCTGGAACTAGAACCTCACTAATGGTGAAGGGCTTTGTCCCATAAAGTAAGATTGGACTACCAATTTAATTTTCTTCTGAATGGGGGTGGGTGGAGGTAATGTCATTTTGTCCTTTAGCTAAAGCAAGTAAACAAGCTAGACAAACATTGAACAATAAAGGTACATTCTCTCTCAAGTCAAACCATGTATCCATTTAGCCTATAGCCCTGGGGCCAACCCTGCCTAGTGTTTTGTTTTCTTGAATCAGCCAAGCAGCTAAGTGCTACTATCTGCTGAGGACAGACAAGGATCGCACATGAAAAATAGTTGTTCCTGATCCCAATAACTTAACTGTACATAATTTACAATGTGAGAGGGTGAATGGAAGAGCCAAAAAATTGAGTAAGTGTTGGTGTACAAGGTAATTAGTCCTTTGCTGTTGTTTTTAAATGCACTTGTTTACTAAAGAATTTTTGAGTGTGACTATGTGATTTACCTGCTTTATTATTTATTTATCAAATGTATATAGCTACCCATCTCATTTGTATGTACTGGTATAAGAAAATGACTTTGGAAGACTAGACAATAGCCTGATGAATGAAATCTGAGTCTAAAGGAGAGCTGGAGGTGGAGAAAGCATCTCAGAAGAGATCTTCCCTAGTTTTTGGGAGAATAAAAATAGGGAAGGGGAGAGGTGTTTTCAGACTTGCAAGATTCTATTACTGTAATCTTGTTTGTTTGATTGATTGATTTGAACTCATGGACTTCTACTTTCCAGCCTGGTACCTTAATCACTGGACCAAACTGGGCCTATCTTGCAATTAAGGTGATGTCAATACTCATGGTTGATGCTTCTTGTCTGGACTACCTTGAAGGGCTGACAGAATGTGGCTTGGGCAGTGCACACAATTAAAACAAAAGCCTTAAAAATATAAACAAAAACACAGGAGTGTGCATTCAAAATTTTAAGGATTTTCTTAAATTCAATAGGTTTGGGGCCATCCCCCCTTGAGGGGGATAATGTTCTGCATGACAGGTGTCACGGCAGAGAAGGCTCACCTCCTGGGTCCAGTCAGGTGGAACACCTAAGCAGACTGGGCCCAGTGACATACTCTCTTCTTGGAAATTTTGTGCTGATTGCTGCCGCATCATGAGCTTACTTTCTGCTTGAGCCAAGTTTGATTAGTTGATTAAAAAGCTGCTTAGCAATGGTGGGAAATACTCACCTCTACTACGCAGATCAATATCAATCATGAGTTTTACATAAGTTTGTCTCTCTTGGAAATGTAGTGAGGAAAAGAGAGACATAGCATTAATTGGGGCTCCTATTTGTCTATTGCTTTCTATCTCATCACTGCAGCCCTAGTGAATGCATAGGAATCCACATTGCTGCTGATGAAAAGATACTCATCCTATTCAAGAGTAAGTTTGAATTCAGGAGGGTTTGAAAGTGAGCAGGGGATGGGCATGCATGCTGGCATTGCATTCAGTTAAGTCTGACTATGTTTTTAGATGAAAGACCTAAAGGATAACTGATTATATGATAGCATACTTCTGTGGATGATACAAGGCCCTGCTTCCACAGGATTCCAGATTTCATGGGTTGCAAGCATAGATTACTTTAGACTTTCTGATTAATCCTTGGAGATCGGAGAATGAAAGGGGTGAGGTTGCATGTGCAACTCTGATCCCTACCCATTTTTTAAGCTGTTACACATTGAAGCAAACTTCTGAAGAAGGTTTCTAATCGTTTAAATTTGTGCTGAAGCCAAATGATCAAGTTTCCCTTGTAGCACATTTTTTTGTTATTCTTCTAATGCAGATTGTTGGGTTAATAATGTGTTGATGCAAATTATTTCAGTGTTGGAAAAATATTTAACTGCCACATATTTTTCTCTGAAACAAAAGAGCTTGAGCATAATTCATGCCTTATGGCATTACTTTTAAAAATCTTAGTTGTTAAAATAAACAGAAACAGAAACAGCAAACAGAGATTCCACAAAACAGTAAGATTTCCTACTGCAATTGACTGAGTTGGTCAATATAGTCTTTGCCACCAATGTCTCAGAAACAGTAGCTGAAATCCAGGGTATGGAATGTAAATTCTTCCCAAGAGTTATTTGAAATGCTCACCCATTTATTAATGTACGGTTGACCAAATCTAAGTCCTGTTTTCTTTAGGCAAAATAGTCTGAAACCAATGATGCTACAAATCAAGCTGAATACTTTTTCTGTGTACATTTGATGAAAAACATAAGAAGACTAGATCTTTCTGGTAAACAAATAAACAATTAAAACAAATAAAATGCAACGAATGCAATTTCTTCTTGTTTGTGACATGTTTATCTTCAGTTGGTATGCCATGGGAGTTGTGGTAGTCCTCTAATATCAAGTTTACATGATCTGTTTGTTTTGTTGTTCATTCAGTTCTCAACTGGGTTATTCATTTTGATGCTCTTGTATCAGCTAGCATTGTTGGATGGTAATTACCATTAGCTAAGGCTTACCTAAGACATCTGGGAACCAGCAATGGATCTGTGTTGGAAGAAATCCAAACATCTGTTTAACTCTATCTTATTTATTTATTTATTTATTTATTTATTTATTTATTTATTTATTCAACTTGTATGCCGCCTTTCTCCAAAGACTCAAGTCTTGTGCAGGAGGATGAAGTTTAGAGTGCCTCCTGAAGTAAGTTTACTCATAGCATTCTGGGATGCAGATACCTACTAGTTTTTGTATATTTATAATTCTTATAAGAATTAATTATGACACATTTCAAGAAAAAAGGAACACAGTAACACATTTGTTCAAAAAAGGCACTGGTGAAAACTGGCTTTTCCACCCAAAAGAACAGGCTGGGTAGACCGTAGAGTGAACAGGAAAAGGTTTGACTATTGATTCTAAAAGTAGGGCTTGCTTCTATAAGATAACAGTGAACTGAATTCTTTCATTATGACTTTCTATCTTTTCTTCAATAAATATTACTTATCATAAATTCTTGGAATTTTGTGTCCTTGTCTAATTGATTCCAGTCTGGGATAATTCTTCTATGAGAAGAAAAGTAAAAAAAGGAACACTATATTTACAATATCAGAACAGCCCCTTGAAATTACAGTCTACAACATAATATAGTAAACTAATCCCTTCTGAGCTCTAGTTTTCTATTAATCTTTTCAAATCCTGATAATTAAATAGAAA